AAACACACAAAAACACACACACACACAAACACACACACACACACAAACACACACACACACACAACACACACACACACACGCATGCGTGTGTTTCTTTAGAGACTTGCATTTCTACATTTGTGAATAGGACAGATCCAGAGGTGAGCGATCGGTATACAGACAGACAGGTCAGATAGTTAGATGTACATGGACCCTTAACGTACGTTAGGTATCTGTCTACTTAAAGGTGTAAGGGACGACAGCGAATCTCGAGAACTGCAATCCCTTACCCGGTGTAGGGTATATAGGGTTGGGGTTTAGGGTTTGGGGGGCGTCGGAGTTTAGGGTGTAGGCATAGGGTTATGTTTAGTGATTAGTGTTTAGGGTTATGGTATGTATGTATGTATGTATGTATGTATGTATGTATGTATGTATGTATGTCTGTATGTATGTATGTATGTATGTATGTATGTATGTATGTATGTATACACCGCAAAAACCGAACGTTCCCACCAGCCGTTTAATCTTAAATTCAAAATCCAAGGCTAACTCGTTGCAAAATTTAATTGATTCCTAGGAGCGACCAAAAGCTATAATGCTGAACCGGCCTACCTTGAACCCTAGAGCTCTCGTAGCCTAAACACTAAAAGCCGTAAAGGCCCAACACTCTACCATCCCGTCTTCGCTCTTTGCCAGGAGAAGAAGGTGGAAGAGAAGGTCGAGGAAACGCCCGCTGAGGAAGAAGGTGGCGATGAGGCCTGTGGCTCAGAGCTGAGGACTTTGTAAAGACCTTTTCCAAGACTAGGCCCCAAACCCTAAGCGAGGGACTTATTAGGATGTTATACGAGTGAATTTAGCATGCCCGTTTGCTCCGTGCAGCGGTTTAGGATTTGGGGATTTTTGGGCTTATGTTGATGTAGTACATGTAGCCGTAGTTCCTTTGTTGGTTTAGCCAGCTTCATGTTCAGAATCCTATATGGCAACCAGAAAGAGGAACTACAATGGACATTATAGGTAAACCCTAAACCCTAAGCCCTCGGACCCAAAGCCGAAACCCCTTAAACCCTAAACCCTAAACCCTCAGACCTAAACCCGAAACCCCTTAAAGCCAGAACCCCAGAGTTGAACATGTGGAGTTTGAGGGCCCTCGGACGAAAGATCTCCGAACACCAAGCTCTCCGTCTCAAACCCCCCCAGGCTACAGCCCTGAACCCTAAACCCTAAACCCTAAACCCTAAACCCTAAACCCTGAATAAACCCTGAACCCTAAACCCTAAACCCTAAACCCTAAGCCCCGGAGCAAGCCCTGGACACCACACCCCATAGCCCTAAAACCCCGCGCCCTAAGCTGCAAAACCTGCACCTCGGACTCCACTTCCACAACTGGGTTCCTGAGTAGTACCCTTTTGCTCTTTTTATTGTATGGTTCCCTTATTAAAACTGAATAACAGGAAAAAGGGTACCCTTATTAAAAAGGGGTCACTCAGGAACCTAGACAATCATGGGTTTTAGTAACTGGCGGTGGGGCATAATAAACAAGGTAACTGGGCTTATAAACCACTGACAACAACATCAGGTGAGGTACTTCTAGCCGTACTTGCTACGTCCCCTGGCATCCCCCGGAACCGCTTTTGAGAACACCTGTTGATTCCTAGAGTATCTATAGGAACTATACCTCAAGCTTAAAACTTCCTTGCCTTAAACACACACCCCCACCTCAACAAAAACATCAAGTGAGAGCCCACTAACTATCAACCCTAAGCCCTAAATCCCAGACCCTAAACCCTGGACCCTAAACCCAAAACCCTAAACACCTAAACCCCGACACCCTAAACCCCTAAACCCTACACCCTAAACCCTCTTCGGTCGTTTCCCTAAACCCAAACACTAAACCCCAAGCGGAGCCGACAAGGAAGAAGGCGAAGAAGACGAGGAGGGCGCCGAGGTCGAGGAGGCTCCTGCTGAGGAAGAGGAGGACGAGGGCTTTAGGGCGTTAGGGTTTAGGGTTTAGGGTTTAGGCTTTGGGGCGTTTATTTAGGGTTTAGGGTTTAGGCTTTAGGGCGTTTATTTAGGGTTTAGGGTTTAGGCTTCGGGGCGTTTATTTAGGGTTTAGGCTTTAGGGCGTTTAGGGCTTAGGGCTTAGGGTTTATAGGTTTAATTACGGTTAAGGGTTCAGAGGAAGAGGACTACGACGACGACGACGACTACTACGGCTACCGCTGCTGCTGCTGCTGCTGCTACTACTACTACTACTACTACTACTACTACTCCTGCTGCTGCTACTACTACTACTGCTGCTGCTGACAATGTTGCTGCTACTGCTACTGCTACTGCTGCTGCTGCTGCTAGTGCCACTGCTACCGCTACTGCTGCTGCTAGTGCTACTGCTACTGCTACTGCTGCTGCTCCTACTACTACTACTACTACTACTACTACTACTACTACTACTAGTACTACTACTACTACTACTACTACTACTACTACTACTGCTGCTTCTGCTACTACTAGCACCGCCATTCCTACGAACTCCTTCATCACCATCATAATTATCATCATCATCATCACCATCATCATCATCATCATCATCATCACCATCATCATCTTCATCATCATCAGCATCATCACCATCATCCTCACCGTTATCATCACCGCCATCATCATCGTCAGCAGCATCATCACCACCATCACCATCATCATCATTATTATCACCATCATCATCACCATCATCGCCACCATCATCATCGTCAGCATCATCATCATCACCACCATCCCACCATCGCCATCATCGTCATCATCCTTATTACCACCCTCATCCTCACCATCATCATGACCACCATCATCATCGTCAGCAGCATCATCGCCACCATCACCATCACCATAAACATCTTTTCACCATCATCATCACCATCATCATCGCCAGGATAAAAATATCATCATCATCATGATAAACCATCAGTATTCATCCTCATCCTCATCCTCATCCTCATCCTCATCCTCATCCTCATCCTCATCCTCATCCTCATCCTCATCCTCATCCTCATCCTCATCCTCCTCATCATCATCATCCTTGCCATCTTCTTCATCTTCTTCCTCTTCATCGTCATGCGTGTGAGACCATCTGCACGTTTGGGTTGTTGATCTGGGTTTAGAGTTTAGGAGCTAGGGTTTCAAGATTACGGTGTTTTTTTTTTGTTGTTTAGGGTTCAGGGTTAAGGGGTTTGGGCTTTAGTGTTTCGGGGTCGGGCTTCGGGCTTTAAGGTTCAGGGTTAGACATCGCAGGAAGAGATCATCGAGCTGACCGGAAAGGACCTGAAGCTGCGCGTGGATCTGCGCGGAGCCCCGGTTTAGGGTTTTGGGCTGACGTTGTTTAACCGGGTCATTCAAAGGATACCAGACATAAAGTCCTGAAAAGGCCGCATCTCGATCCACAACCTCGTTCCGGGATGCCTATCCCTTCAGGGGCTGGGAAAAAGTTTGGGGTTTGGGGCTTGGATATCGAGGCTTTGAGCCTGTTTGGCGCTTGTGGCTTTGACAGCGGGGCCTCTCCTCGCTGGCGCCTGGCTCATACACAAGGCCAAAAGCCAGAGACCCCAATATTCCTCGTTCACGGTAGCTCCTGAAGTTTTAGTAATGACGCGGGTGTTTTCCTCCATCGATAAATGATATGAGAGCTTTCGGGAAGACAGAAACCCTAAAGCCTAAACCCTGAATCCTAGAAGCCCCAAGCCCTGAACCTTAAACGCCCTCAGCCTTCCAGCCTGCTCCGAGCCCGAAAATCCTAAACCCCATAAAGCAAAACCCAAAGTCGCAAACACCCCAGGGGGTTTAGGCATTTAGGGCTGTAGGGTGTAGGCTCTACGAAGGAAAGCAAGAAGGACTCAAGTAGGGCCAATGAAGTGGGTAACAACGCAGAGAACTCTTCTGTGAATCTACGCAGCATTTGCAGCAGAAAGGCTGTGCAACATCATCACCTTCTTCGTGTGGAACTACACGCGGCGAGGTCTGCTGGATTCCGACAAACTGACGGTGGCACCTTGGCTCTGGATCAAAGGCTTACAGGCTTCGGTAGTTGTAGCTATGTCGCAGGGGTGGATAAATCTCTCTTCAGGGATTTTGGAAGGACGCCTCCGGCCCCACATGACTTTTGGACCCAGTGCGTCTAAGACTCGTCATCTGGATTTTTGGCCCGCTCGGCCTCTGGGTTCGAGGTGCAATGGGAGTTAAACGAATCAGGGGTTCGAAGTTTATTCACACGGAAGCTTTTGCGGGAATGAGTCAAGACTTCATGGGGTAGTGGTAGCAGCAAGCGACAGCTGCAAAGCAACCATTGCCGTGATCGGTCATCGCCAACTACCACCGCCACGGTCTCGGTCATAGTTGTCGCGGCCGCGGCCGTCGTCGTCTCCGCCCTGGGTCAACACGGTCATTGTAGTTGCCGAACATTAACAGCCTCCCCATTACCGTCATCACGGTCATCACCACCATGGCCATGATCATCATCACCAACATCGTCGTCATCATCATCACCACCACCATCATTATTATCATCATCATCGTCATCACCATCATCATCATCATCATCACCTCATCACCATCAACAACAACGACGTCATCATCATCATCATCATCATCATCATCATCCTCATCCTCATCCTCATCCTCAACACGAAGCTAAATAGAGCATGCTACAGACCGCTACACCTTGGCCGGAGGAGTAGCATGGTTCCAAGTGCTGGTTCCTTGCGTCCATGCATGAGCCAGGGCTTTCGCAGGAATGCACCTTGAGGAACACCTTGCTCCAAAAGGTACTATAGAAGCCTAAATCATCACCTCTATCATTCCATCGGGCTCCTCATTATCATGGTACTCTGATATATCCCAAAGCCCTATTCTGCAATTATTAAGGCCCCTATTTCTTGCTCTGATGATGTGTGGGATGTTCATCTCCAGTAGGATTGATTCGGATCAGAACCTGCCAGCCGAAAGACCCTCAACGCTAGGGCCGTGCCCTAAACCCTAAACCCTAAACCCTAAACCCTAAACCCTAAACCCTAAACCCCTGATCTCGGTGATCTTCTCAACTGAAGCTCTTCAGGGGTTAAGGGTTTAGGGCTTGGGGTTTAAGTTAGTTTAGGGCTTAGGGTTTAAGGGGTTAGGGTTTAAGGGTTTAGGGCTTAGGGTTTAGGGGGTTAAGGCTTAGGGTTTAAGGGTTTAGGCTTTGAGGGTTTAGGGCTTTGAGGGTTTAGGGCTTAGGGTTTAAGGGTTTAGGGTTTGAGGGTTTAGGGCTTAGGGTTAGGGTTTTAGTGTACCTCTCTTGATGATACGATGAAGACTCCAACACAGAGCAAGCCGACCTAAACTCCAAAGATTAGACCCTAAACCCTAAACCCTAAACTCCTAAACCCTTAGACCCCAGGTGAGTATGATGGCCATGAGCATCCTCGTGCGAGCCGCTCGGGCTTGCATATGGGCAGCTCTCTAAATCAGGGTGCTTTTTTAGGTTCCCCGAATAGTACGGCACCCTTATAAAAAGAAGGACCCTAAACAAGAACCTATTTTAGAGAACTAACTACCCTTATGGACCCGTTTTAGATACCCTTGCAGATCCTTTTAAAGGAACCCCTAAAAAGGACCCTTGAAAAGGGACTCTAAGTTTGAGAACTACCCATGTGGAAGCTGCAGGGGCTCACGGGATCAGGATGTAGTTCCGGGTCTCCAGTTTTGGAGTTCGAGTTTTGGGGTTGTAGCCTTTTGTGGACCTACTAAACCCAGAAACCTAAACCCTATAAACCCTATACCCTAAACCCTCAAACCTAAACCCTGAACCCTACACCCTCAACCCTATACCCTAGATCCTAAACCCTAAACGCAGAAGCCTCAACCCTAAACCCTCAAACCTGAACCCTGAACCCTAAACCCTCAACCCTATACCCTAAGATCCTAAAGCTTCGACCCTAGACCCTCGACTAAACTCGACAAGCCCTCAATGAAAGGGCCATCCCTACCCCAACCGTGCTCTCCGGGGCTCTGCGCCGATTTGGGGTTCCGAAGTCGACGCTTTCCTGGTGTCTTCATGGTCTTGGGAAGGGGGCTGTAGGGCTTTATGGGTTCGAGGTTTGAGGTTTGAGGGGTTTAGGGCGCCGGGCAACCTAAACCCTAAACCCCTAAACCCCTAAACTCTAAACCAACTTAGGGCGTCGCGGCATAAGGAGGGTTACAGTGCGGAGTTCTCTTAATTAAACTGCGAGACGAGTCCTTGCGTCCTTGATCGCCTAAAGTTTGAGTGTTCGGGCTTTAGGGGTTTGGGTTTAGGGTTCAGGGTTTAGGGAGGGTTTCGGGTTCCAAGCTTTGCTGGGGATTTGGGTTCGGGTTTAAAGTAACGCCTCAAGGCGAGATGCATTGTTTGCATGAGCTCCCGGGTAGACACCCCTGCAAATACCAAGGCTGGCAAAATCACCACCGAGGAGAAGGACGGGAACCCCTGCGACTGAGGCCGTAGCCCCAATCCCAAAACCCAAGCCCTTAGCCCTAAACCTCTACACCCTAAACCCTAAACCCCACGTGAAGTTCAAGTCGCAAGCAGGCAGATCTCGGCGGCGTTGGTCACGAAGAGAATCCCTCGCCTCACTGTGAATACTGAATACCGTATGACGGTCTTGATTGAAGTACATCCGGCAGGGTTCAGCAGTCTTCGTGACGGCCCGAAGCCTAGCCCTTTATAAGTGCAAGTTGAGATTCAGAATATTCTCCGCAACTCTTGAGCCCTGAACCCTTCAACCCTAAAATTTAAAAGTCCTTTTCTGTAATCTTCAGCCCTCTCGGAGGCCTCAGAGAATCCTAAATGACAAGGAAGCCGCCAAGCACCAAACTCAAAGTAGGCCGACGCCCGACACCAATGCGCAAAGCCCAAATAAGGACGGTGAAGTCTCTACCTTCTCTCCAGGCCCGTCCACCTATACCCAACCTTTTGAATCCTACACCCTGAACCCCACACCCCAAGCCCCAATGCCCTAAACCCCAAGCCCTACCTTGGAGTTGCAGCCTCGCATCTCAAACACCGAATGTCCACGCTAATTCATAAGTCTGAAGGATTAGTCATAATGCCCGCTTTGATTTAGGATTTAGGGTTTAGGAGTTTACACCAAGCTTCAAAGCACTCTTTCAAGTATTCCGGGCCGACTGCTCAACCAAAGCTCCTCTACGAGGAGACCCTGATTCCATGCACTCCAGCTCCCTAAATCTCAAACGCTAAGCCTTAATCCCTGAGCCCGCAGCCCTAAACCCAGAACACTATACCCTGAACCCAGACCCCTAAACCCTAAACACAGAAGCCTAAACCCTAAACCCAGAACCCTAAACCCTAAACACAGAAGCCTAAACCCTAAACCCTAAACCCTAAACCCTAAACCCTTAACACAAACTCCTCCACGAGGAGACGCTGATTCGATGCCCTCCAGATGCGAATCCTCCGGCCATGCCGGAGAACGCCAGGACGGGTTTAGGGGTTCAGGGGTTTAGGGGTTCAGGGGTTTAGGGGTTTGGGGTTAGGGTTTCGGGTGTATGCTTAGGGTTTAGGGTCTTAGGATTTAGGGTTTAAGGTTCAGGCGTTTGGCGGTTCAGGGCTTCACTGTAGGGCTTCGACGCGAAAGCCTTAAGAAACTGGAGGGCTTTATTGTTTCACTGGGGTTTAACACCTTAACAATGACAAGATTGATAACAACACCTTGATGCCCGCAACGAGGGCAGCATTACCAGCTTGAGTTCTTTCTCTGCATTAAACATGATGGTAAGCACCAACAGCAGCAGCTGCAGTCGCAGAAACCAGGCGGCAGCAGCAGCCGCAAAAATGGACCTTATGCTTAATAACTTTGTTTTGAGATCTGTTACATTGCTACTATTGTTACAACTCTTGTTTCGTTTTTGATGAAATTACTACTCGTTTATTTGTTCATTGCTGTGGTTATGGTGTTCATCATCTAAGAACCCTAAACCCTAAACCCTTAGACCCTAAAGCCTAAACCCTAAACCGAAAACCCTAAACCCAAAACCCTAAACCATAAACCGTTAGACAATAAACCCTAAACCCTAAACCCTTAACCCTTAACCCTTAGACCCTATACCCTAAACCCTAAACCGAAAACCCAAAACACAAAACCCTAAACCATAAACCCTTAGACCCCAAACCCTAAACCCTAAACCCTTAGACCCTAAACCCCAAACCGAAAACCCTAAACCCAAAACCCTAAACCATAAACCCTTAGACCCTAGACCCTA